GAAACTGGGCTTTGATATGCAATTTATCCAGCCCAGCAACAGAAGGGATACAGGTGTTCAAGTCCTCAGTCAACCATGATTCATTACCAGACCTGAGACCGCTCTTCCTCGGGATCTGATGTTGACAGCTGGATATGGAACAAGAGCACCTGGGTGGTCCGCTGGCATCACTGCATATGTAAGAACAGATTCTTTGAATTGGTGAGGAAGATAAAATTCGTAGATGCTTTTCACAGAAACACCACAGCAGGCCTTCCTGCCCTCCCCTTTCCAGTTTAAGTGGAACTGGGCACTCAGAACTATCAGTTCAGGAGAGGCGCCTCTTATGGCTAATGATTTAGTCACCCTGTTGATTGGAAAAAGCACAAGATCTTCTGCCAAGTGCAAGTCTTGGGAAGGCACTTGTCTAATGAAGATTAAACTCTGTGCGGCCAAGCATAATGAGTTGGGATGAGTAACTGTTGGGGTTGGGGAATATTTTGATATCCATCCTGCTGGAATCAAAACAGCTCTCCAAATCTTCTCTGAGAGCTTTCTTGAAAAGCTTACTAACAGGATGAGACTGATTATCTCAAGGCATTGCCAACCTGGATTGTTAATGTCCAGAAATAAAGGAATAAGAAAGACAAGAGTGCAAATGCACATTGCATTTTCTCCCTACTCTGTACAGTATTTTCATTATCCGGAGACAAACACTCCTTATTTGTTTCCTCCTGGCACCTTTTTAAAGGCCTATTGTCACACTGGCTTTTTATCTGAAGCCTCTCAGGATCAAATAACCTTCTTTTTGTAGTCCAGCTTTCTTTTTAGCAGCAGGGGTTTCCTTCTACTAAACCGATGTTTCACATCCCTCAAAATTATTGAAATTTCCACACTCAGCAATCATTTCTTCTTCCTTGCAGCCTTTAGAAACTTTGTCAGGATTCCACAATATTTCTGACGCTTAATTGTTCAAGTACTGCAACTTGCATTAAAAATGAGAGTCAGTTATATATTGAAGATCTTTGGAAATCTAGACAGAGTAGGATGACTTGTTAGAAGAGTCCAGACTGTGAGAAAATTCTCTTGCCATAAAACTGATCAAATCAAATCTTGAGATGAAGTATGGCTTGTACAGCTTGTACGTTTTGAAAGTTATGTGTCAGAGCTGTTGCATAAATCCTAAGAAGCTAAATATAACACTTTTGGGGTGTTGCTAAAATCAGAAAATAATAGTTCTATTCCCCAATCTGCTTGACAACTTTCCTCTTCATCCAGTGTGGCCGTCTGAAGGAGAAGAAGGTTTGTGACAGTCCTAACTTTCCCCTTTTGAAATATGAAGCGTGCCTGTGAATTACATCTGGCGTTGTCAAGGACCCAAGCGGCTGCTAGCACTGCCCTCTTACAGGAAAGAAAGATGTGACATAACCACATTTTAAATAATCAAAACACTGTTGGGAGACTTAAATTTTAAAAGATTCGTTTTCTTTTTTGCAATGCAACTTTCTGATATGAAAGGTACCCCAAAGGCCCAAGTGCACAATAAGAATATAGGCCAGCTTGTTCCTGGAATGGCATCTTTTAGCTTTCCTACCTAGGGGAACATGCTAGAAGAATAATAAAAGATGTAAGTCAACTCCATCTGGAAGCCCCAGATTAAGAAAAGATATTTAATCTCTCAGTCGTCAAACTAAACTTTTCAGGAAAGAAAGAGTAACAAGTAGTTTTAAAAATTATTATTCATTGAGCCCTAATTGGGCGGATTGAAATAGTTAAACGATCTAACAAAAATATGAAAAAAAAAAATCCATCCTTCCCCCCAAAACAAGTCCTGACAATAGCAATACAATTCTTGATGCACTTTCATTTTGGCAGCTGCTGTGACAAATCAGCTAATTGCAGGACAAAATAAATACATCTGGAGCCACAATGGACATGAGATTCATCTCCCAGTAACGTTTACACTTTTAGGAAACTGATTGAGACATTAATCTCAATTAATGGAACAGCAAGAACCAGTCAGGGGCTTCAGAAACACAAAGACCAGAAAGGCATTATCGAAGAAGATCATCTGTTCCAAAAAGACTGAACGGAATGAAATAGGCCAAGCATAAAATGTGAAACTGCCCCAGAACAGATGCTCACCAGGGTGCTCCTGTCCCTTCAGATGGGAATGAGTGAGTCACTGTCAACCATCTGATGTTCTTCCCAGAGCAATCTTGTAGGAGCTGCATTTTAGGCCCAAGCTAGGAGGGATTCTCAGCACGGTGCTATCATCCTCCCAAAATTTGTCCCAGTCTTTAGAACCATCAAAAGCATTGGAAGAGACTGGATAGCCCTTTGACTGGGCACATTTTCCCCCATCACGTCCTGCTAGATTCACACCTTTTGTTAAGCAAGGTTGCCATTTTATCCATCTCTGTTAAGACAGACAGAATGGCCAGGAGTATGCATTGTGTTCAACCACAATCTATGATTAACAAATCACAACTGTTGGATTTATATATTTATATTTATAAAGAGTGGGGCGGAGCAGCTGTTGGCAGGGTGGGTGGGGTGGGGGGTGGAGTGGGGGCAAAGAGGGGGCAGGCAGCAGAGCAGGGCCGGGGCCATTTTTTGGGCACTCAGTCTCTAAAAGGTTCCCCATCACTGACATAGGACATACACTGGAAAGGCAGATAGCCCACTGCTGCTCCAAGCTGCACGAGAGATTGCCATCTTGTTTCAGAAAGTCAAATTCGCCTTCACTATTAAGGATATTTTTTAAAGTTCAATTCATGAGAGCTAGTCGTACCATACTGAGCCTCAGAAGATTTATTTTGGAGGATTCTTCACTCAGCGATCCCATCAACTGCTATCCTGCAACTGTTGTGAGAGAACATCTTTGCGCTGTGCCATTTTTAGTTCAGCCCTGTTTAAAAAACAAACAAACAAAGCATTTCTTTTGTATGCTACAAATCCCCTGCCTTCAAGAGATTCCCCAAAGGTTGCGTAGGAGTTGCCTTTTTGAAACCACCTCATTAGCTCCCCCCACCCCCAATCCCCCCCCCCTTGAGCTCCCGTGTCCAAGTCGTTGCTGGAAAGACAAATGCTTTCTGACGGGATGGGAATTTGCATCCAGGTTGCTAGGCAACCAGTGGTGGTACTGCAGCCTCCTGAATTGAGAAATCTCTGCCTCGACCTGGTTGTCCTGGCAGGATTCCACAATCTGTGGTTAGTGGCAGGCTGTAATTTAACAGGTAGCATGGGGCTTTTAATAGTCCAATCCTAAACATATTTATGCAGAAGAGGACTGCGGAGCTCAACAGCCAGGGAAATAAGATTGCTTACCAAAATAGAAAATCCACAGTCTTCCCAAGAACACCCGATCTTAAGAAATGCCCAGATGCTAACTTGATGTATTATGCAAAGTCACTGGATTTCTTACCTGTGGTTTATTGAAAACCATGACCCAGTAGTTCACATTACAATAAGTCCTCCATTGTGGGCTTCAGCGGCTGGATTCACGTAACATAGTTATAAGTGGTTTATCTGATTTGGGGTGGGTGTAGTGCATGAATGCAAACCAGCCTGCATGTGCATGTACAGACAACCATTGGGACTGTAAACTATAGTTTGCTATAATATGTGACTATTGCTATAATATATGTAATATTTCTGTAGAGTGCATGCAGCAGAGAGTAGTGGGAGCTGCCCAGAGTGCTGATCCTTGCTTGAAAAGGTCTTTCTTCATCTAAAAGGGAAAAACCTGACTCCACATTTTGTACTAAGCCACAATATGGTGTGCTAACCATATAACAAGGTTGAAAGGGACCTCAGAGGTCTTCTAGTCCAACCCCCTGCTCAAACAGGAGACCCTATAGCATTCAGGACAATTGGCTGTCCAGTCTCTTCTTGAAAACCTCCGGTGCTGGAGCACTCACAGGGTCAAGGTTCATGGGTTTATTCAGGATTATTATTTTTTTAAACTCTCCACAGCCCATTTCTTATTTTGTTGAGTAGCAATCCAAAACCCACTGAAATGGAGCCGCACCCATTTTTAAGCAGGACTTAAGAAAAAGAAAAATCATTCTGTTGGTCAAAGCAAATATTTCTCTAGTGCTGTGACCCAGACAAAGAGGCTGGACTGCATCAGTTCCTTTCCCAGCAGTTTCATTGACTGCTTATTCGTGGCTGATAAACAATGGAGAATAGGGCTCATAGAATCTGGACACAATGAAGAATGCCACAGATGGGTGTTGTTGTTTTTTTTAACCAAACAGAAGCAACTTAACTTCTGCTTCTGGGGGGAAGCAGATAGGAGAACTTACTCCCTTATCGCCTGCAAAATATCATCAGAACGGCCCAACCAAGAAATAAAGGTTTTTCCTCAAAACTATGTTTCATTTGAGCATTGGGAGAACACCCTTTATGCAAATTCTGCTTCTCTGAAACACCTTACATTTGCTGTCTTTGCGCCACGAAGCCTCCCTGCATCCACAGGTTGCGGTCAAAGAACAAATACGACTACAGAAAACAACACGTATGTTGCATGAGTATTAGTGCTTCTCAATCTTGGCAAGCTTGAAGATGGGTCAACTCCCATCTGGGAGTTGAGGTCCATTCATCTTCACGCTTGCCAAGGTTGAGAAACTCTTCCTTAACCCCCAAGGTTTTCATGAACCGCCGGTGTTGTGCTCATTCACGCCGACTCTAGGACACCCCATTCATTTTGTGTTTATTCAAGGCTTTCCCCAAATCCTTAATTTCTAAAATCCTCTCTCCCGCGCCCCCCCCCCCTTGTTCGTGGAGCTATTCATGCCGGGAATCCTTGCGGGAAGGAGAGGAGCAACCAAGCGCGGGAGCCAAGCCTGGCTTAAGCCCCTGCCCAGAAAACAAAGGAGCGGGCGGGCGGGCGGACAGGGTCTCCCTGGAACGCCCCCGGCCCAGCCAATGGGACGCGGCCGGCTCACAAAGAGCCCCTGCATTGTGCGTGGAATTTGCCGCGGTCCGCGCGTTCCACTCAGCCGAGCCGGAGGCTCCGGAGAGACTCTGCAGCTTAGCTGGGGTCCCCTGCTTGGATCCGACTTTCTGAAGTAAAGGGAGAAGCTCGAGGTCGCAAAGACGCCGGGATAGTGGACAAATACTGTGGGTGGTTTTAGGATGGTTACTTGGCGCACGCGTGTTCATTAGCTCCGGTTTAGCCACGATTTCTCTCTTATTCCTGTCTGCTTTGATGCTCCTTAATGGACTTTAGTACTGCACACCGGTTTATTTCCAAAGCGGCTTAAGGCAGGTTCTCTGCCCCAAGCAGTGTGTTTGCGCTCAGTTCTGAAAGTTGGAGGAGAAAAGAAAGGGACGGGGTAGGAAAATATGCCCTTGCAATGCCAGTTTGCTCCGCCTTACAGGGAAGCAAGGCATAATGTCCCTGCTCTGTGGAATATCTTGACCAAGAGCCAACTCTGCCAGCTGGCATGGGGAGGGGTCTAAGAGTGGCATGCAACCCTGGGTGTGGTTTGTGGCTTGAAGACACTTTTTAAACCTCTGTAACTTTTAACTTTTGACCTCTGTTTTTAATACTCTTTTAGCTATGTTGCTTTTCATGGTTTTTATTTGTAAGCTGCCCAGAGTCACGTAGGTGAGATGGGCAGTATAGAAATTTGATGAATAAACAAAATAAGGTTAATAAATAACGAAAGGGATCTATTTAGACTTCCGATCTCTTGAATCATCTGTTTCAATTCAGTTCAGGACTAACTAGAAGCGATGAATCTGTGAACTTCTGAGTCCAGATTGAGCCCTCTGCCATTCAGCCGTGGCCCTTGCTAAAGTCTGCCGTCTTTTTCTGGTGAACAAATTTGTCCCATCCGTTTCAATCTACTAATTTTCCTTTAAAGCCATGTTTCAGAACATACTGGAGTTTGGTTTTTAAAGTAAAAAAGGAAAGTTTCTGGAGCCTTATGAGTTTAAACCAAGGTCTTAAGGGAAGTGTGTGGATTGTGCCAGATCAGATGGGAAGATGCAGACTAAAATGAGCTGCCAAATTCTCTCTTTGGAGCCGGATCTTCCTTTCTCACCCTGGCTGAGCTTCATCGTTCCCAGAACACCTCAGAATGTTCCGTCCGGTCCACTTGGTGTGTGGGTGTCCAGAGAAATGACAGCAGAGGGTGCACCGTGTTTCAATGTGCTCTCTTGTTATCTCTATGGAAACCCCAGTCCTGAATGGGTTTGGATGGAGCGTAACCATCTGTTCCGCCCCCTAATTTTAAGTGAACATGGCTCTGATGACATAATGTCAGTGTTCTTTTAATATGCTGCAGAAACCATCTGGGCATGTGGCCCCTACCAATGGAGAGGAGAAGGGAGAATTCGCTGATGCGGAAAAGAGGTCCCGAAAGAGATCTTGCTTGCAAATGGAGGCTAGAAACTATTGCAATAAAAACTTTTTTGTTAACTTTTTTTTCAGGTTTCGGTTTGGGAAGGATTAACCTGGTTTCCTTAACAGACGCATCAAGACTTAATCCAGGCAAAGATGAAGACGCTGGTAAACATGCTTGTTTTCATTAAGCCTGGGTAATTGTAGAGTCTGTTCCTCGTCTGCAGTCGCTTAGCCATGGGACAGGAGCCTGACTGCCTGTGGCCACCATCCGCTTCCTGGTTCTCATTTTAGATGGGTGAGCCAAGTGGCCCATCTCCGCTGCCTTCAAGATGTGCATTTAACTCCCATCGTTCCAGGCAGTGCAGGAAAAGGCTTGACAGAGTTATCATCCCACGCATCTGAAGGGCACCATGTGGGAGAAAGCTGCCTTATTGTGCAGTGTTGAAATGCTATTGGTTGCTGGTTACATTTTAGAGTGCACTTTTATTTTCCATCCATGAAAGCTAGAATGGATTCAATTTCGTTTAGGAACAGCTTCCTCTCCTCCTCCCCTGCAAGTTAAGGTAGTGCAATTATTCTTCTGCTAGCTTCGTCAGGACTGTTGAACAATATGCCCCTCCTTTGGGTAGATTTTTGGAAGATTAATAGTTCGTTCTGGTGGAACAGCTTTTCTTTATTTCACTCTGCTTCCCTTGGGAAAAGGGAAATTGTAATCCTGAAGGAAACATAAGCCCAGTTAAAACACAAACACCCTTTTCTTTTAAAAAAATATCTGCCCTGCAGCGCCGGAGGGCATCTCATGCCAGGAGCGAAAATTCAGACTTCACGGAGAAGGAAAAGGAGATGATGGCAGAAGCCGAACTGAGGAAGCTGCAGCAACAGTTTCGGATCATGGTGGAGAGCCGCAAGTCCCTTGGTTTCAAAACGCAGCAGCAATTGTTCCATCAGGAGTAAGTCTGCCGGAGATTAAGGAGATTTAACGAGGGGCTGCCCTGTGGTGTGCGTGAGTGCGTGGGTGCGTGGGGCTGTATGTGCATGACCAACGTGGATACATGCCAGCCAATACATGCTCTGCTAGCTGAGAAAAATGAATGCAGGCATACCTGCTCCTGTTTCAATCTGTCTAAGTCACCTTTGCACATTGGTCAGTTCCCTCATTATGCTCCCCATGGCCTGTATTGTAGGAGGCTCAGAGGTCTCCAAGTCCAGAGTTCCCCAATTTTGGGGGTTAGCGGCCCAGAGGGGAGGGGGAAAGAGGGATGGGTTTGTGGGAGGGGCACATGCACGCGCACCCATTGCTCACGCAAGTGGGGCCAAGAGCACCCTCGACGCTCACACAAGGCCCTGAGCACACGCATGCACCAGCCAGCCAGTTACGCGGCTTGGTTGTGAATAAGCCATGGACCGGTGTGGGCCACGGCCCACAGGTTGGGGACCCCTGTTCTAGTCCAGCCCCGTACTCAAGCAGGAGACCCCGTTCAGACAAATGGAATCCACTCTCTTTTTAAAAACCTCCAGTAATGGAGTACCCACAACTTCTGTTCCGCTGATCGTTCTCACTGTCAGAAAATTTCCCCTTCATTCTAGGTTGGTTCTCTTATCTGTTGCTTCTTGTCCTGCCCTCAGATGGCTTGGAGGATAGGCTGACTCCCTCTTCCTTGTGGCAGCCCCTCAGATATTGGAACATTGCCCTCATGTCACCCCTGGTCTTTCTTTTCATTAAACTAGACATACCCAATTCAAGCCCCTCTAGCTTGTAATCAATGCTTTCGGATTTCACACTTTATGTCCGTACATTTTCAGCCACCCTGGTTTGGAATGCTTGAGCACTTTGGAGAGAGTCCTTCTTTTTCCTTCACAGAAGACACATCCAGGCCTTGAAACAAGAATACGATGAGATTAATTTGCTGCTGACTCTCACCAAATCACCCCGCAACCTTTACATAGATGACCGGAACTTCATGGAGCTCAGATTCCTTCTGCAGACCAGAGATGAGTACGATGCTCTGATCAGAGCCACCAAGAATTTGATCGCAGAACTTGATGACAAGGTGCTTGGGAGAATGTGCGACTTGCAAAGCGGGGGTTGTGAAGCACGATAGACAGCCTGCCAGCGAGCTCCTCTCTCCCTTCTGCTTTTGACTTCTCGGTGCACTTTTCATGCGAATCAAAACTAATTTAGCATGCCCTAATCTCTGTGCAAACACCGTCTCCAGTTCAAGAGCTAAGAGACCATAAACCCTAGGATTTCCAGCTGTAGATCCTTAGGGAAAAAATAAAGCATTTGGGGAAATTCTGTTGCTCAGGGAATATTCTTCCTCTCTTGATGCTCTCTCAATCTCCATTTCCTTTGCTCTGTGTTCTTGTTTGGAGCAGGAACTGCTTGTGTAGACTTAAGACCACAACTGGGCCTAAAATTTCTGTTTCTAGGCGAGACATTTGTTGCAGTTGTTAAATTAATAACAATGTTAAGTGAATCTGGCTTCCCCTCTGACTTGGCTTGCCAGAAGGTCGCAAAAGCCGATCACATAACTCTGGGATCCTGCGACCATCATAAATATGAGACAGTTGCCAAGCATTTGAAGTTTGATCACGTGACCATGGGGATGTGGCTACATTCGCAGTGTGAAAAACGGCCATAAATCACTTTTTTCAGTGCCACTGTAACTTTGAACGGTCACTAAATGAACTGTTGTAAGTCGAGGACTCTACCTACACACAAGCATCTAATATTTAGAGTTTATACTAGCAAATGCACTGCAGTTATTCATTGTTTTCCTTAAGCCGTTTTCTTTCAATGTATAAAGGAGTTTTGAGATATTTCTCCCTCTGCTTTTAGGTAGAAGAGGTGGAAAAAAAGATTAAAACCCAAAAAAATCTGATGGTCAAGCTGAGGCAGGAGTATGATGGGAAGTGGCTTCAGAAGCAAATCCACAAGCTGGATAACCAACTCAATCATGTAAGCAGCAGTTTGCAGACTTGCATCTTCCTTGTGGTGGAGAAATTAGCGTCTGTCTCCACCTTGAGGGGAACAGTTGAAATAAGAACCACAATGACAGCCCTTAAAAATAAAGTTGAGGGGGTAGAAGACTCCAAATTTAGAACAATCAGGCATAATGGATGATGGTGAATAGAAAGTAATGTGGCTTTTTTTTGAACTTTCCCTTCTGAGTCCAGAAAATACATTTAGAACTGGAATCCATTAACCACATCTCTGGCCTAATTTTGTGTAACTGCAGCATCAATTTTGTGCTTCAGATGTTGAGACCTCCTCTTTTTCCCCAAACCTATAAATCACTTCTACTTCATGAGTTTGGGTGTGTCAATAAGGAGTAAAGATGTGGAGGGTTGCAGAAGGAAAAAGAGAGTGATGCATTCTGCAAATTCCACCCTCTTTCGGCTTTCCCCATTATTAGTCGCTCTTCTCCATGACTTTGAGAAACATTTTAAAATCTTGCTTTAGAATGTCCTGGGCCCTTTCCTAATTCTACCTCTGACCTCCAGGCCACGGTACATTTTGACACGATCTTGACCAGAAATGCCATGCTCCGTGAAGAAATAGAAACGCTGCAGTGCCAGAAGACGATCTTTGAAGGCATCTACTCACGGCTTCACAAGAAGCTTGAGCAGCAAAAGAAGACCATGAATACATCCATTGAGCAGTCTACACAAGCCTACGAGCAGAGGTGAGGAGGAGGACCAAGTGTGTGACCTTTTGCTCGCTTTCAGGACTGCAACTTCGACTGCTTGGGCAAATTTGAGACTGCCCTGCTAATGGAGGGTCTTTGGGTAAACATTTGTTTTTTAAAGAGGGGACTCGTGCTTCTCTGCAACACAATGAAAAATGCTAATGTGGGATGACAGAAGCCAGGCAGGGCAACCTCCAATTCCAATGTCTTCTTTGCCCAACCCAAATGCTCCCTGCAGATACAAAACCGATTCTACTTCCAGGAATAAGCAAACAGGGCTGGGTTTCCCTGCATCCTTAATTTTTCAAAACAGAGCAGCTTTTAAAAAGGACATTTATCAGCTGCAATCTAAAGCAATAGAATGCCACTCTCTAGAACTCTGCCATCTGTTGTGGATTTAGTTTGTTCTTTAATTGGTCAGCAAAGAGCATCATTCAGAAGAAAGGTATCCTGCACAAGTTGTTTTAGATGGATGAGTCCCAGGACTAGGAATGGAATATCTCAGAGATAAGCTGGTTCAAAATAAGTTGACAAAATCTTGGCCTGGACTGCTTCATCTTGTCCTATTTTTGCGCTCTCTTTCTCTCTCCTATCTGCTTTTCTGCTTCTTATCAGGGTTGAAGCCTTGGCAAGGATCTCTGCCATGAATGAACGGCGGTCCAAGGATATTGCCCAGTTCAACATTGAGTTTCGGGAGCTGGAGCGAATCTATAACCACGAGACCAAGCTAAAAGCATTTATGCTCATCAAACTGGTGGATCGCTCTGAAATTGAGGAACAGGCCAAAAAGGAAGAAGGTACCATTTTGTCACTCGATTCATGCCAATGTACACAAACACAAAAAGCTAACATGTCCTGCCTGGTGTTGCAAGTGATGAACTTTTGCGCGATCACGTATGGTGCTCTAAGTGATGTCCACACATATGAAGAGGGTTCTGGGTGCAAAACCTATTAATCTATACAGTAGACACAGTACAACTTTACTACCATATTTAATTGGATGTGGGTGTGTATGTCTAGTAACCACAACAACCACCATAGGCACTATTTTGTCTGGGTGGGTCACTTTTTTGTAGGGAAGCAAATCTTGACTGGCTCTGTATCCTAAACACCCCACTTTCTCTCAGCGCTCAAGGCAAGGAAGCGGGCCAAGTCGAAAGGGGAGAGCTTTGAGAGCTACGAGGTAGCTTACATGCGACTGCTGAAACTGACGGAAAACGGGAACATTGGGCAGCTGGTGGAGGACTTCCTGGAGAAGGAAGAGAAGAACTTCGCCTACTTCAGCTACGTCACCGAACTGAACAATGACATGGAAAGACTGCAGAAGAGGATTGAGGTCATCCAGGTGGGGTCCTCCTTCTCCCGGGCAGTTTCATTTTTACTCAAGGTTTTGAGGTTTCCTCATTACATTGAGCTTTTGCTGTCCAATCCTTCTGCACGTCAGCTATTCTTCCAGTAAAATATTAATGACCATTTTTAAAAAGCAAACACTTTTTTATAGGCAAACCTGGGTGACTGTTGTCACCAAACAGCTTGGGGAGGGACTGCAGCAAAATCCATCTGGGTTAATTCTCTGAAAACAGCTTGGAAGCGATCCCTTTTGTCTCCACCAATGATGGCTTCCCCTGGGGTGCAGAATTGGGGTCAAGGCTTTTCTTTTCATGCATGGTGTTAACTGCATGCAGAGACATTCTTGGGCGTATCCAGCAAAGGCATAACCTAGTCGGAAGTCTTCCCAATTGGGATCTGCGTTCAACACAGTTCAGAAGTCAGAAAGTTTTTCTATAAATCAGAATTCCACTTTCTGATTACAAGCATTTCAGGGTTAAGAGATGGGAAGTGTCTTTCTTTCTTTCTTTCTTTCTTTCTTTCTTTCTTTCTTTCTTTCTTTCTTTCTTTCTTTCTTTCTTTCTTTCTTTCTTTTTGGGGGTGATTTTATCCAAGCATGCTTACCCTTTTCTCCTTTCACTGTTTTGCTTTTTTAAAAAAAAATCCTCTCTTATTACATAAAACTGGCAGAGTTCATCTGAGAGTCAGACAGCCTTCCAAGTTAAATAAATAAATACTCACAGGCATCCTCTGAACCTGGTGCTTTTTGGAAACACACCTCGCAAAGTCATAAGTGGCCTGAAGGCTAAAATGATGGATTTCTGAATTTCTGAACTTTGTAGAATGAAATTAGCCAGCTGAAATCCCAGCAGAAGGCAGCTGAAGTTGCAGTTCATGGCAGTCTGAAAAGCATGGAGGTATTGCAGTGGAGCTGGTGTGTATGTGTGTTTGTGTGAGAGGAGGGGGAGAGAGGGGGAAGAGAGACCAGGGCAGTGTCCTCTGCCCCTTATTTATAAAAGAAAATGATTCTCCAGGGTGAGAGCCAGTTGGGCTTAGCTTTGGGGGGCTTGGTAACACTTTTACTTTCACAGTCTCTCTAATCCCGTCAGCCTCTTTTTCTGCCCACAGGAAAAACTGCAGAAGACCACCGAAAACGCCAATCTCTATGCGTACAGTCTGAAAGAGAGCAGCAAAATCTTGGACCAGCTGAAATCCGCAGTCGATTTTCTGTTCAAGAAGATCGGCTGCGACGCCACCAAGATTACACAGCATCTGGGAGAGACTGGAGAGATCACCGATCAGAATTTGATGCAGTATTTCAGTGAGTGAAACGACCAAGCACCAAGTTGAGTTGATCACCTTGGGGTTTCTCCTAGAGAGCCCTGGAGGCTTCCTGTGTTTGTGTGACAAGCTGGGAGAGCAAATAACACAAACTGACTAATGGAGACCTTCGGTCAGGTAAAGCCTTCTGACATTCCCTCATTTGTCCTCCAGGGGCGTCTTAGTGCTTCCATCTGGGATTTCTCTCATCCCAACCTTGGACCTCAACTCCCAGAATTCCCCAGCCAGCTATGGTCCGCACTTCTTAAATGTCCCAGCATTGGGAAACAATGCCTTATAGCTTATGTAGTCTTTGTATGTAAAGTTTTAATGAGAAATTCCCTTTCTAATCAAAGAAATGTATCGGTGTCCAACGGAGTTTACTGGGAAAACCTCATTTGAGAAGAAACCCTGCAGAGCCAAGAGTCACACCTACCAAATCAGGACCTGGAAGTCCCCTTGCCTTCCACCTTCTTTGTGCGTTGTGTGAGACGTGAAGCACATCCACTCCCTCACAGGTTCCTTTGCTTCTCTCTCTCTCTCTCTCTCTGCAGGCTTAGTAGAAAAGAAAAGCAACGACCTTTTGCTGATTGAGTCCTTCCTGCGCTACAAGCAAGTCGAAGGGGAGCTGGACACCGTCCCCTTGCTGAATCCCTTTTTGGGTGGGAGTGCTCTGCTAAAGAAAATGGACGCCATTAAAGTGACTCCACCTTCTCTCAGTGTGGATCCCTTTGCAGACACGTCAGAGCCTAGTAAGTATTTGCAGGAAGAATAGATGGCTATGCAAAATTTGGAGCCAGCAAGAATGAGGGTCTGGTTATTCAACCCTGGCTTGGAAGCTTTTTGAAGGGGCAGAGAGAATTCCCTTATGCTGTCCGTTTGACCAGTGTCTCAGTAAGTTTTTTTCCGCCAAGCTTTTTCTGGTTTCCCTGAGTTTTCCCAAAGACATTTCAAGTAAAATAAGAAAAAACAAGTTAATCAGTAAATGAGCCTAAGGGTGGGGAGAGTTTGTTGCTGATCCAACCCCTGATCCAAGCTGATAAATAAATAGGTCTTGTGTTCATACTGTGTTAATGTGGTTCACTGAAACTGTGGTTTTAAAAAGGAAGAAAATGCCTCTTCTCCAAACTAACCCTGTTGAACTTCTCGTTCCTTTCCCAATAGTGGAACCACTAGACCACAAAAATCTGCGTGCCATGGTCTTGGAAAACCAGGAGAAGGAAAAAGCCACAAGGAATTCCATCGCAGAAAGATTGGAGAGTGGCAGAGAAAAAAAGAAATTGTCACCGGTGTAGAGGCTAAGAAAGAAATGGGTGGCAGGACGAGAAACCATCTTTTCTCATTGGCTTCTTTCATATACTTAGACTCATGTATCTTCTTTTATATATACGTATATACCCACAGTACAAAATGCGATACCAAGATGGATTTTCTTTGCATAGAATAAAAAAATTATGAACAAAGAAAGCATTTGTCTCTTGAATTTCTACAGCTCGCTGTCTTGCTTGCAGTCGTCTTTTTGGTTACCCTGAATTTCTCTGCTTGTTTTTTTTTTTTTTTGTATGCCCTCAAATATCTAACTGGACTATATCACCCATCATCCTCCAGCTATCAAAGTTTGGAAACACAGAAGTGAAAGTCTGACACAACCAGAGAATCCCAGTTCGATGAGGGCTGCATTTATGTTGCATGAGATTTTTGCTTTAATCTTGTGGAAGTTAAACCATTCTCTCACCTCTTTCCAGGAGAACAAACTGCTTGGATGTACTTTTGTGTGAGAGGCTGCAGAACCCTTAAGAGGGCTCCTCCAGCCTCAGCAAAGGCTATTTTCTCTCGAGCATCCTGGAAGGGTGAATCTCCCTCTTTGACCTTGAAACACCTGACACAGTTATTGATTTTGTTGTTGTTATATTTTTACTGCGTGGCTGTTGCAGAGTCGAGCCATTTCCCTGGTTTGGCAGGTTCCATTAGCCAAAGAGGATTCAGGGATGTGTTTCTGGCACCTCATTTTTTCCAATAAAAAAAAGCAAAGCTCTAAGAAGGTGCTTGGGCTGTGCATATAGGAGGACTCTGCGAAGACCAGATGGTAGGAAAAGAGGTGAAGCACCTGCAATGGAATCCATGAGTTCCACTTCCTGCCTGAATTAATGTTGGTCTCTCGTCTTGATCCTCATCAGCACAGTGCAGTCTGCTAAATAAGCCATAAGATGGCCTAGTGTCAACCAAGATTTATCTTATGTCCTTCATAGGGCTGATATTGTACGAATATGGCTCCATTATAAACCAGTTATTATCAGATTTTAAGTCTTTGGGAGAACTCTAATTTTCTTATTTTTTTATCTTAAAAAACAGAAGATCATCTCAATAAGATATTTTAATATGTAAGTGGAAAACTGTCCTTCAGTCCAATGCCTTTCAGTGCTAATAGGCAGAGTGGATGAAACATAGGATGCATTAGTGCACTGAAGTAGGATCACAACTCAGATTTATCCAAGAACAATGCCTGCTTTTCTAGGTACCAGACAGTTTTACTATTTATAGCCCACTGTGAATGAGCTGTGTTATCTCACAGCATGTTAACACAGAGCAAATGCCACACCATACAGATTGCACCTGTGCGTGGCTCTTGAGACGCCTGCTAGTTGTAATCCCAATATATCTGGAGCATTTCAGGTTGGCAGGCTAACGAAGGTAGACCACCAAGCTAGTAGACATTGGAAATTTGGTTTTGCAATCCTGGACCCTCAACACAAACTGCATAGTCACTGACTTTGGATGGGTCTCAATCTATGTTGGGTGAGCCTGTCTGTTATAGCTGACTTCATGACCTGGAAAGAGCAGATGATGGACAACTTTAGATGCACCCAGAAAGACAATTGTGTGGATCCAGCCGTGTGCCTCCATTGGGTAAGAGATCCATATTGTGGGACTGGGAGGGGGAGAAATCCTGCTGTAAAGCACTGTGGAGCGATATATAAGTCCAAGTATTATTGCTATAATAGGTAGGAAGCCTCCATAGATGTGTTGGGTTCCTAGCAAATTTCCATACCCAGGAGTGGCAAATTTGTGGCCCTTACTTGATGTTAGCTGTGGGTGAAGCCTCCTCCTGTTCAGCTCTACATACTGTTGTTGGACAACCTCTTTGCCTTGTGTGTTAAGTGAGAAACGCACCCTGCTCTGGCATCAGAAAAGAAACACACGGCTTGCTGTGAGTACAGCTTATTCCATTCCCTCATCCATAATCATTCATCAAGGGCTGCTCAGACTTTCTGAATAATTCAATACAAAGGCAGTTTTAGAAATAGGTTTCTCCAGACATGGCTGCATTCTTTCTACAGATAGGACAGACAAAGGGCTGGAACTGCCAAGAGGATGACAACAGACAGGAGAGACACAACAGCCCAGCTTAGCTGGCCAGAGAAGGTATCACTTCTGTCATCACACACCGAGTGGCTCCACACCATTTCTTAATCTTTTTCTTCTCCATGTGTGATGATGTGCACCAAATTCTTATAGTCAAGGTTGCCGGTCACATCTGGAGGGAAGGCTGCAAACATTTGGTCTACCTGGAAGAACAAAGAAGCCAGGAAATTTCCTTTTGATGTTTTATACCTCAGTGGCTCTTGGTAAGATTGCAAATCTTCATTTCGAAGACAGTCCAACTCCCAAATTGCATTTCCTGGAAAGGCCATTGAGCGATTCAGAAATTTCTTACCTCTTCCTTTGAAAACCGTTCTCCTTGTGTCATGAGCATCTCTTTAATGCTGAAAAATAAAAACCCAGATTAGATGCAAAGGAATATCAGTCTCAATTCCACCCATCACTCCATGTGAAGAATAGAGGCGATAGCTTTCTCATTTCTGAAATCCAGGCTGGAGCACATGGGGATGGACCAACAAGTTCTTAATTGCAGTTTAGGATAAGCAGCCAGGCTGATTGTACATTTGCATCACAACAGTTTGTCCCAAGAGAGAGGATGCTAAAGGAATGTTTATTAAGGGAGTGAGAAGAAAAGGGTGAAGAGAAGCAGAAAGGGCTCTGAGGATCTTCTGACCACTTTAAGCGGACAAGATCCAAAGATACTTACTAGTTTGCCTTTAAGCCTTTGCTTTCTGGATCAAAGACTTTAAATGCATTTAGAATGGTTTCCTCTGGATCTGCTCCTGGAAAATTAAAAGGAAATAAAAGGGGGAGGGGAGGGGAGGGGAGATGGAGGGAAAGTCTCAGAAAGCTGAATACTTTGTAAAAGTGGCCCTTCTTATAATGTTTGTGGGAAGGTGTGTCACCATGGAGGCTACACAGAAAATAAATGGGCAGGTGAACCAGAATAAAACCCTCCTTTAGCCACACAAGGAAGCTTTCCAGGAGAATTGGGAATCCAGCACCACATCACCTTAAACATATGTTTGCTTGTTTGTTTATCCTGCTGCATGAATAGTGACCACTTCCGTTACTTTTTCATGGTCCTAACCAAGTCTGTGTGGATGGGAGCCTAAACAGCTTACCAAAGATGCTCACTGCTTGCAACCAAGTTGTAGCCTCCTCCGATCTTACCTTTAAGCTTTTCTCCAAACATTGACAAGAACACGGTGAAGTTAATTGGTCCAGGAGCTTCTTTGATCATGTCATCAAGCTCTTCATTTTTCACATTCAGACGCCCTGAAGCAGGCAAAACCAAACCAAACACAAGGAAGGATAATTGAAATATTTTTTTCTCCATGAGATCCGGTATAAATTACTCATAGGGCATTGATGGGTATCATAATGTAAAGGCGTTTCTTTGCTTACCTAGTGCTGCAAATGTATCTCTCAGATCTGCTTTGTCAATGAAACCATCGCGGTTCTGATCCATGATGGTGAAAGCCTGAAAGGGGAGAAGCTACATGTCTTGTACGAAGTGCCTGATCTCAGACTGTTAGATCTACCACAATTGCTTCTGAAGTCGCCCCCAGCTGTCTTCACACAGAAGTGTGTGCCCAGCCTTTCAAATTCCTCTTTTGAAACATTCTCCCAGCCCTATTCTGTAATTATGCAGGATACATTAGTGAACTCAGGGTCTTTCTGGGATCCGCAAGATGGTTGGGGAATGTATAAGGTTTAGGAAAAGATAAAAATCAATCCAACATACAACTGAGATAATATTTCAGTATGAACTTTCCATGGCTGGAATCTGGCAGACCTTATGCTGCAATATTCAGCTAGGGCATTTCATTCTAGGTTCCAGAACTAAGTCCAGGCTTCAGATTAAGCTCCAATAAAGTCTTTTTAAATTGGCTATTACAGCCTTTGATCTACAAGAATGTAGAATCATCTAGGACTTAAGCACAGACTTCCATGCTTAAAAAAAAAGATTGGCTGAGAGTTTGATTCCTCAGGCCTTAGATTGTGTAGCGTGACTGAACTTCAAATACGGACTCTTAATTATGCAGGTAGAACAGAAGCCAAGAGGATGTTAGTGTATTACCTACGTTTTCCATGTTCTTGGGTCAAGATATTCGCTTCATTTGGATCTGTAATACAAACTGTTTGCAAAAGATTTTAGTACCTCTGTTGACATACCTCCTTAAACTCCTGGATCTGTGCCTGTTCAAACATGGAGAAGACGTTAGAATCTGTCCTCTTCTTAGCTTTCTTGGGTGCCTTTGGGGAGATTAAACACAACACAATTAGCGGCATCTCCTTAACGTCTGGAGCAGGGGTAGGCAACCTCGGCTCTTTTATGACTCGTGGACTTCAACTCCCAGAATTCCTGAGCCAACTTGGCTCAGCTTGGAAACCTCTCCCTTTCCCCCTCAGCGTGGCTGGCTCAGGAATTCTGAGAGTTGAAGTCCACGAGTCATAAAAGAGCCGAGGTTGCCTAACCCTGGTCTAGAGGTACCTTCTGCTGGGACAAATAATGGTCCCAGGCCTTCTATCCAAAGCCACAAGCAGAAAACAAGACTGTTTTTACTGTTTTATTGGTCAAGAGGGTTATCGGACCACGATCGGCTGCATTTAGCGACTATTGAATTTCCATCTGTGGAAAATGCCCCGTGAAAAAGTCCATGAAGGGGTTTCCCTGACTGACTCAAGAAGTTTACAATTTCACATTTGATGGTGGAGGTAGAGATGCTCAAAAGAAAGAGATGCACTGATATATAGATTTTGACATTTTGGGGAGTAAAAAAATTGTGCTTAAAGTAAAAGGACAAATTGGAGATTTTTAAGAAAGGATTTGAATACAGAAAGAGATAGAATGCATGAAGGGGACATGGCGATATCAAACCAGGGGTCTGACAGCGATGTCAAGCCAATAAGGAAAAAATGGATGGAGTCAATTTTGGGCGCCATTAAATCATTGCTTCTAACTAAAATCATCTGATTGATAAACATGTAGTAGTACGCTGGAACCCCAGGTTTGAAAGAATAAATGTGATTAAAACCGAGTCCTATCAATTAAATCCAACTTAACTGGCCTATTGTGCACCACTTACTCTCCACACTTCTTCTAAAGGGATGTCAGCGTGTAACCTAATTCCACCTGATACTAGAATTCTTTTTGTTTGGAACATCCTCACTCACTAAAGGGCAACCCCCCCCCTCCTATTTTTTATCCGGAATGCTTGAATTCCTGTTTCTTTTCTTCCCGTTCCAACTCATGACCCCTCCGTCTCTCCCACACTCCTTTTACTCACCATTTCTAAGACCAAATTGTGCAGCTCAGGGTGCTGTTCGGAGACGGTTCCTTCGGTGGGTGCCCCCGTTGTTCTGCCCGAGGAGACAATAAATAAGACCCAGCCCAGATTATAAATAAACCCATCTCCTCTTTTGGCTGTAATAGGTGAGTTAATCCTCTCCTCCCTCCATTCTCTCTTCTGCCTTCTTAAATATCAGCCCA